GAGAAATGCCTCAGACTCTCACGTAAGCAACAAGATTTCATTTATTTGGCATAGAGAGACAATAGCCCTGCTAACCAGGATAGCTATTGTTCTTTTGTTTTTGAGAAACAAAAAGGGTAAATGCGAAGCACTAGCTTCCCAGGGAAAAATCATAAAAATAAGTTCTCATCATGCTGTCTACCGAGGAACCCACAGCCTCTCGTACTTCACCTATCGCCCTCGCGCTGTTATTCACCCACGCGTTTGTCGGCTTAGGAAACAAATGAAATATACTGAGGCCTTGCTCTACCCGAGAAGAGCTGAGGGGTTTTTTTATAGCAGAACAAGTTAATTGGATCGAAAACCATTGAGTCAATGCACTAAGCAGAAAAATGCACGGTGCTATCTGCTGTGTAGCTGAGCACACAAGTGCTCCAGCAGCTAATGTCTCAGAACAGCGTATAATATTGGCATATTCCCTTTAGCTTTACTTCAGCATTTTTCATAATGAAGACGGAAAGCCATCCATAACCAGAAGAAGCCTCGAAACGTTGCATTCTTTTGGTGGTGGTGAAGGGAGAAGAAAAGCAGGACTTTGATTTAGAAAGACAGAGGTGCTCAAATACGAGAATGACAGCTGGGGAATAAGGACCCACTATTCAGGACAGTGAATTGCTTATAGCCTTTTACAAGCTCTGGGAAGGCGTAAGCTGTAAACGAGGTTCAGGAGCTTTGGCACAAATACAGTGGATCCTGTGAGCGAAAAGGACCTTCTGCAGCGTCTAGGTAGCCTCGGGAACCCGTCAGAGCCATTCGAAGCACGGACGCGCAGAATTCCCCTCTTCAGCCGGTTAGCTGGAAAGCAAACAGCTGTCTCCGAGGAAGGCAGGGGTGTCAGATATGCCTGGAGACACGCATCTGGGAATTTCTGCCCAATTAAAATACTTCTGAACGCAAAAGAGGATGGTTTCTACTGAGGGAGCTAGTGGAAAGCGTTATCTGGGAAAGCCGAACAGATCAACCGCGCGCTTGTTGTTCGGGGAGTTACCGTTCTTCACAACTAACTGGCTTCATCTGGAAAAGCAGAAGCTCTGCAGCATCATCACCCTCTGCGGCAACCACAGGACACGCAGACAGAGCAGAGGGAAGGCTTGATTTTTTTTAACCTCTGCTAGCCAAAGCTGCGGTGGGTTTCACCTGCATGCTCAGATGTGAACGTATGAATGTGTAATATAAAGAACACAGCCCCCCGAGCCAAATCCTTTAGTGATACATAAGGCAAGTTCCCAGCTGTGGATATACTACTGAGGGGCATAATAAATATTCATGCTTGTTTACGACTTAATGGACATTAGTTGCCCCACGGACTTCATCAGCGACTCCCATTGCTTGGTCTTGCAGAAGGACGTTGGTGCTCCTGAGTTCTCAGTTCTCTGAAGGGCTTTTAGGCAGAGATCCTCACAGACACGGCTCGCCTCGTCGCCAGCAGAAAACAAAAGACGTTTTTAAGCAGACAATTTAAGTTACTATCATTTGTGACTCCAAGGCCTATACAGTGTTAGTTATTTGTATAGCTAAGGCCTAAACAGAGGAGAAACACCATTCAATATACTCCAATAGCCAGTTTTCCTTTTCTGCAGTGTTTTCGAAAATTTATTACCATTACTTAACAGTAATTTGTTTTATTTTCCTTATTAACAGACGCTTTCATTCACAAATCTGTATCTTTCCCTACTTTTATTAATTTCCCTTTTTTTTTTTTTTTTTTTTGGCTTTCCAATCCCCAAACTGGTTTCACGCCTGAAAGCTTTTCACCATTTCCAGTTTCCTTGTTAAGGGTAAAATGCCACGCATCCTCCCTTGCTAGTCCGAGCCCCAGTAAAACAAGAGGGTGGCCACTCAGCCGTGCTGCAGCCGAAACTTTCCCTTCAGCAGTTGCTGGTCGCGGGGCGTTCCATGAAAAGCAAATAATTGTTGCGGTTTGATTGAAGTTTGCTCTCGCAGCAGTGCAAATGGCATCGCCGCTAATTTTTGCTAACTTCATCGCGTCAGTTTAAAGGAGAGGAAACGTCTGCCCCTGGCTAAGCGGCAAAGCTCGGGCTCGCCCTCCCGGGCACGGCAGAGCCGGCGGCAACCGCAACGGCGCGGAGAGGAGCCGGCGATCGCCCCTCGGCTGGGCGTAAGAAAACAATTAATCGAGAGACTTAATGTTTAAAGCTGCATTAACGCCCCGAGGCTTTCAAAGAGCAGCCCCGCTCGCAGCCCAAAATGAAAAAAAAAAAAAAAAAAAAAAAAAAAAAAAGGCGGGGGGGTGGTGTGTGTAATTGCCAAAGAAAAAAAAAAAAAAGGCGGGGGGGTGGTGTGTGTAATTGCCAAAGAAAAAAAAAAAAAAAAAAAGGCGGGGGGGTGGTGTGTGTAATTGCCAAAAAAAAAAAAAAAAAGGCGGGGGGGTGGTGTGTGTAATTGCCAAAGAAAAAAAAAAAAAAGGCGGGGGGGTGGTGTGTGTAATTGCCAAAGAAAAAAAAAAAAAAGGCGGGGGGGTGGTGTGTGTAATTGCCAAAAAAAAAAAAAAAAAAAAAAAAAAAGGGGGTGGTGGTGGTGTGTGTAATTGCCAAAAAAAAAAAAAAAAAAAGGCGGGGGGGTGGTGTGTGTAATTGCCAAAGAAAAAAAAAAAAAAAAAGGCGGGGGGGTGGTGTGTGTAATTGCCAAAGGAAAAAAAAAAAAAGGCGGGGGGGTGGTGTGTGTAATTGCCAAAGAAAAAAAAAAAAAAAAAAAAAAGGGGGTGGTGGTGGTGTGTGTAATTGCCAAAAAAAAAAAAAGGGGGGGGGGTGCGAGGGGGGGGTGTCGCCGAAAAGAGCGCTATTAAGAAACGGCCGGGGGGCGGGGGGCTGGGTGGGGGCAGGCCGGGCAGGAGGAGGGCGAATGTTTCCTGCCCGCCGCCGCCGCCCCCCGCCGCCCCCCGCCGCCGGGCGGAAGTCAGCCCGCGCCGTCGGAGCTTTAAAAGGCTCCCGCACGCCGCGCAGCCCCAGAGCCGGCGGCCGCAGCGGGGCCGGAGCCGCAGCCGCCGCCAGCCCTGCGGGCCATGCGCTGCCCCCCTCCCTGAGCCTTCCCCCCCCCTTCCCCCTCTCCTTTCCCCCCCCCCCTTTTCCCTTTCCCCAGACCCCCCCCCCTCTCCCCTTCCAACCCCTTACCCCTTCCTCGCCCCCAGGGCCGCGCCGCCCGGCTCTGCCCCTCCGCACCCCGCCGAGCAGGGGGAAGGCGCCCGGCGCGATGGCTCTCCCCGGATCCCACGCCGCTCGGGACGGTGCTGCCGCATCAGTGAGTAATTCCTGCTAATTCACCCCCCCGGGGCCGGTGGGCTCCGACTCGGCAGATCGCGGGGGGGGGGGGGCGGGCGTTTTGGGTTTGTGTTTTTTTTTTTGTTTGGTTGGGTTTTTTTTGTTTGTTTTTTTTCTGCCTCTTTTCCCCCCCCACCTCCTCCCTCCCCCTCCTCGGGCTTTATATTATTTTTGTTTTCTCAATAAAACACCACGCGAAGAGGCGAGATGACAAAGGAAATGTGATCCTAGGCGCTGCAGGGGCTCAGAGCGAGCGAGAACCGGAGAGGAGGAGGAGGAGGAGGAGGAGGAGGGGGGCGAGCGTAGCGCTCTCGGATAGCATTGCACAGCGGCTCCAATTTGTGCGAGCGAATATAATACACCCCCCATGAATAATTCAGGGCGGCCGGCGGGGACCTGCCGCGGCTCCTCTGCCCAGCCGGTGCGAGCCGCGCCGAGCCCGCGGCGCTGAGCGGCCCCCGCCGCCGGGCACCGCGTGTGGCGGGGCCGCTGCGGGCCCGGCGCTGCCCTCGGCGGGGAGCCCCGCTCGAAGGAAGGCGGCCGGCGGGAGCCGGGGCTCCTGAGAGGTGAGGGGGGGCTGCCTCTTCCCTCAGCTCCTTTTTTTTTTTTTTTCCTCGCCTTCCCATCTCCTCCTTCGCCTCCGTGTCCCGCCAGCGTGAGTCTCTGCCGGTGGGGTGGGCACCAACGCCGCCCTCCATCCCCACCCCCCCCCCCCAGTCATGCGGTGGTGGAGCAGGCGTCGGCGGGGGAGGACTGGAGCCGGAGAAGTCTGCCTGGCCACTGTGTTTCAGTGCCTCTCTCTCTCCTAGAGCTGCTCTGGATTGCAAAAGTGGAGGGGGGAACTGAAACGAAATTTCCCCTTCCCCCCCGCCAAGCACAGGTTTAAAGGAAAAGAGGAAAAAACTCAACGCCCCAAGAAGAAAGAGCGAAACTTGAGTTAAACCCCTGCTGCCCCCCCGCGCCCGGCCAAGAGGGACTTGCACTGCCGCCCCGGCGCCCCGACCCCGTCCTGCGGCCGTGGGAACCGGAGCCGAGCCCCGGCGGAGAGAGATTCGGTCCCCGCTGGATGCGGTGGGGATCGGGCGGTTTGCGCCCATGCACTTTCTGTTTAGGAAGAAGACGAGTAACCAAACCACGTTGTCAAACTGCTGACCCGAGGGGGAAATGAGAAGACTGTGTGAGGTATTGACCGATCTGGGAATCGATACAGTTTGTCTAATGCAACGGGGGATCGGGGGTTAAGTACATGTGAGGGAAGAGGGGATCCATTTGCTGAGAGAGAACGGGACAGCTACACCTTGATACCAAAAATACCCTCACCACCCCCCTCCCCGCGGCAGCAAGTCCGGCAGCGGCAGCAGCGAGGTACGAGGCGAGGACCCAGCTCCCTGCAGACCGCCGGATCGATGACACCGTATTTGCAAAACCGGCCAATCGATCCCACTTGGCAAAACGACTGATCGATGCCAGCTTGCTCGTAAGCCGCTTCAGAACTACCTTCTCCCCGCGCCGCTCGAAACGCCCCCCGCCTCCTGTGGGGTTTCTTCCCCCCCCCCCCCCCCCCCCCCGACTTGTTTATTTTTTTGGTTTTTTTTTTTTTTTTTGAGAGGGAGGGGAGATACTTTTTTTTTTTTTTTAATCTTTTCGTTCTTTAACCCCCCCATCGGGGGAGCCGGGCCCGCCGCAAATGGCTTCGTTTCCCGAGTCCGACTTCCAGATCTGCCCGCTGTGCAAGGAGATGTGCGGCTCGCCCGCTCCCCTCTCCTCCAACTCCTCCACCTCCTCGTCCTCCTCGCAGACCTCCAGCTCCTCCGGGGGCGGCGGCGGCGGCTCCTCCTGCGGGGGCCCGCCGCGGCGGCTCCACGTCCTGCCCTGCCTGCACGCCTTCTGCCGCCAGTGCCTGGAGGCGCAGCGGCACCCCGGCGGGGGGGACGCGCTCAAGCTGCGCTGCCCCATCTGCGACCAGAAGGTGGTGATCTCGGAGCCCTCGGGCATGGACGCGCTGCCCTCCTCCAACTTCCTCCTCAGCAACCTGCTGGACGTCGTCGTGGTGGCCGCCGCCGCCGACGAGCAGAAGAACGGCCGCGCCGCCGGGGCCGGCCCCGCCGCCGCCGCCGGTTCCGGGGCGGGAGGAGGGAGCGGAGGCGGCGGCGGCGGCGGCAACAACCGACACCACGGCCGCCCGCCGCCGCCGCCCCACCGCGCCGCCGGCTCCTCGCCCGCCGCCGCCTCGGCCGCGCCTTCCTCGACGTCGTCGTCTTCCTCCTCCTCGGGCGGCGGCTCGGCGGCGCTGCTGCTGCGGCGGCCCCACAGCCGGCAGGGCGAGCCCCGCTGCAGCTCCTGCGACGAGGGCAACGCCGCCAGCTCCCGCTGCCTCGACTGCCAGGAGCACCTGTGCGACAACTGCGTGCGGGCGCACCAGCGTGTCCGCCTCACCAAGGACCACTTCATCGAGCGCTTCGCCCCCGGACCCGCCGCACCCGGACCCGCCGTTGTTGCCGCCGCCGGCCCCGCCGCGCCGCTCGCCCTCAGCCCGCCCTACCCCGCCTCGCCCTACAACATCCTCTCCGTCTTCCCCGACCGGGCCAGCTACTGCCAGCACCACGACGACGAGGTGAGACGGGTGCGCGGCGCGGGAAAGGGGGGGGGAAAGGAGGAAGGTGGGGGCGGCCGCGCTTCTCGCCCCTCGGCGGCGACAAGAGGGGTGGGTGTCGTCGGTGTTGCCCGCCTCGCTCCCTCACGGCGGGCGGGCGGGCGGCGCTGGGGTCTCTCCCGCCCCGTGGGGCTCGGGGTGGGCTCGAGGGTGCCCCCCGTGGGGGGGCGGGAGCCGTTAACAGCCGCGGGGGGGGGGGGGGGGGGCGTGCGGTGAGGCGGCGGCGGCCCCGCTCCCTCCGGGCGCCGCTCCGCCACGCCGCCGCTCGGGAGGAGGAGGAGGAGGAGAAGCGGGGGGGGGGGGGGGGGGGGCTGCTGTCCCGGTCGTCGGGAGCTGGGGAAGCCGCTAACGGGGCGGCGGGTGCGTACCGAGGGGTGGCGAGAGGGGGGAGGTGGAAGCGGGGGGGGGGGGGGCGACACACTGGCGTGGCTCAAGCCCCTAAGGTTTCTAACGCAAAGTTTGAATTATTTCGTGGAGTCTGTTTTGTAACGTGTTCGGCGTGTAACCCGTCGAAGAAAGGCAAAACGAATAAATGTTGCAGGAAGATAACTGTAATGAGGAAAGGACTCCCTTTTTTTTTTTATATAAATATTTTTCATGTATATATTTATAAGATAGTCAGAAAGTTAGCAAAGATGTTCGCCCTTGCCTATACCTGTCTCCGGCTCTTGGGTAACATTTTTGCTGCCCCTGTGGTGCAAAAGAGAAATTTTTACTTGATACAAAAATGGGAACTCACTTTACGTGGTCTCTATTTAAAACGCTTTGCAAGTTTTGTTTCTGACGATCCAAAGCCTTGAGATCTAAAAGAGGCTGTGGCTTCTTCAAAACGTGCTGAAAGTGTCTTAAGTTTCATCGGGACATAGCTTCTTGCTGTGGTAGTTTGAAACTTGATTTTCAGCTGAAACTGGAAAATGGCGGTCTGCTGTGTGTTCCCCCCCCTCCCCCCCCCCGCCCTCCGCTCTGGGGGTCAACGCAGGGGATTTTGCTGGAATTTTCCAGTTACTTCAGTGTTGGAGGTAGTTTCCTCCCAGTATGAAATTGGGGAGTACAGCAGGCTGCTTCAGGAGAAAAAGCTGCCTGAAGACAGGGCAGCACAAGAGTTTCCTGAGATGCTTAACTGATACGTAAAGGCGTTTAACCTAGTGAAATGTGGTGATGTCTTTGTCTTCAGTTTGCAAGGACTCTTCTCAGATCTTCTCTAATGCTGTTGTACCTCTGAAATAATTTTCTAGAAAGCTCTGGAGGATCTTTTCTTGTTTCTTAAAGTTGCTAGTGCCAGAGGACAAAGTATGAGTTTTGTGCAAAAGGAAAAACCTTAAAATGACACTTTGGGGGTGGGGTGGTGGGGATGTGCTTGAGGGGCAAGGAAGGTTTTTTTTTTTTGTTTTGTTTGTTATTGTTTATTTTTAAAAAGCCAAAACAGATAAACAACCCAAACAGAAACCAGCAACCTTATGGCAATTGAGCTGCTTACGGATTTTTGTGGTATTTAAGTATCTTGCTGCTAGTGGGCTTCTTAAAGAACAGACATAATACTGAAATGCCAGAAAGAAGAGAATCATGGTGGTTTTAATAATCTAAAAAAGCTTTCCTTCTGCATTCATTTTGGAGTATAACTTTGGGCTTGTGGTATGGGCTACAAAAGCTTCTAGTTCTTGTGTTCTCAGTATGACAAAACTTCTTGTTGAAGTTTGTAAAATGAAACAATGGAGGGCTGTTGGCCATAGCAGAGAGTATCCATCTTCAAAAGCAGATGTGTTCATCACCACTTGGTGAAGAGTAGCTGGGACAGGAGCTCCAAGATATTTTGTAGACTCAAGCGTTTAAATTGCAAAGGGAAAAAAGATATTCTAGACTTGCTTAAACTGTAAAGCTTTTCTAGAAGCAACTTCTAAAAGAGCTTGTTAATTTGTTTTACGTAACTAGTTTTATTTCCAACAGTGTACTTTGAAAAGACCACATGTCTTTGAGGGTTGATTTTGGGTGTCCTTGTGTCCTGTAGACCTAGAAATTTGTTTTAAAACAAGTAAGTGTTTTCAAGCCTTCAGCTCCTGTTGAGAAAGGCTTTTATTCTGCAAATTAATGATCTACTGCTGTTGTTTAGTGAGTTTTGGTGGTTCCTTAATGTGGGTGTGCCTGATCAGTACTTGCAAGTATTTATTCACTTAAGGGGAAGTGTTTGGGAGAGCCTCTGACTGTTTGGAACAGTTTATACTGCAAGTCTTTCTCACTTTCGCTAAAAATGTGGGCGAGGTGTACAATTTTTTCGATAAAGGGTGGCTGCAAAACTGTGAGGGTTATTGCTTGTTTAATTCTAAGAATGCTATTTACAGCCTCATAAAAGGAACGATAATAGAAAGGCAGCTTTCCAAGAGAGTACGTCAGCGATGCACTGAGTACTTTGTTTGGCTGTCACAATAGTGTAAAAAACCTAGAATGCAAGACAGGAATGGCAGCTTGAAACATTAATATTAGTGACAGAGCAGGACATTCCCTCAGACTAATGTCGTGTAGGTAAATTTGAGCACAGGCAGATCTCATCTGTAAGCTGCTAGAACGAGTAGTTCTCTTGGATGTGGAGTTCTCCTTCCCCAGGCTGTATCCTCCTCACCCTGTTTGAGATCAGTTATAAGGAGTTTGACCCTGTCCCTGAGGCTTTTCTGGGACAAAGCAGCCGGCTCACTTATTTTCTACATCCTTGCCTAGAACAGGGTAACTCCCTGTCCTTCCAGCAACACTACTTCACTTGTGCCTTTGGCTCTGTTCCTCTCTGGTCTTTCCACCCTCCTCCTGGGAAGCACTGCCCATTCCCCAACAATTTTACCTCCTTCCACCCCCATTTTGAGACTCTCTCAAGTGAGAAGGGAAGTAGCACCGTGGGCGGTTGCTTACTGGGTGTTCCATGTCTCAAAACAAGAGCACGGATATGCATTTGCAAGACAAGATCAATGCAGTTGCTCACCCTTTTAATGCAGAGAAATGTAGATTTTGCTCTTTACTGGGGTGTCTGGAGCAGCTTCTTATTAGTTGAGTTGGTTCGGGTCTCAGCTGAGCTGTTGACTCATGTAAAACAATGGTAACTTGTGTGCTATGAGTACATAAGTCACTGACAACAGGGTATTATTGACTGTTACTGTAGTGGCAAACAAAGAAAGTGGACCTCTGAACGCTGCTTTCAGGGTGGCTAGTGCCTGCAAATAGTACGACAATGCATGAAAAGGAAGGAAACTATTCCTGCAAAAAAAAAAAAAAAGGCAAAAGCCAATCTTTCATTGCCATAGAGCTGCTGTTGAAACCCTGTCTGGTTGCTTACTACTTGGAACCTCACTGTCTGAGGTAAAATGCTATCAGGCCAGCAAGGGAAATGCTTAATTTCAGTCAGATGTTTCAAAGCATTCTACAAATGTAGCAATATTTGTGTTGCAACCCTGAAAAAACTCTTCTGTGTGACCATGTGTGTATGGATAGAATTATCAATGTTACAGTAGTAACTAGATGTTATTGTCATAAAAGCCACTAGAACAGGACTTTAAATTTGAAAAAGGGTTTACTTTAGTCTTATCCATGTTTAAATCAAATATAGTAACTGATATGTTAAAGCGTGCTTGATTGTCTCATCTCTCTGACTGAAAGAGCACCTCTATTTTTATTTCCATAGGATTCTCAATAATAGGCTGCAAACCATAGGATTCTCAATAATAGGCTGCAAACCAAAGCAGATGCTTAGAAAATGTTGGAACAGCTGTAGGATGCTTGGCTTGTATAGAGAAACTACCTGGATTCAGATGGGTTTGCTGTTGCAGAAAGTGGAAAAGGCCACGAGTTTCAAGTTCAATAATGCGGGGTTTCCTTTATGCCAACTCTCAGCTGCTACATGCTTTAGTATCACTTGGTGATAACAGTGGCGGATGGTCAAAACACTTCAATAGCAGACTTCTAACGCTTTCTAGGGAAAGTGTGGAGTTGCCAAATTCAGTCAGCTTAATGGTCTGTGACCCCCCTAGTTCTCGTATTGCTTTACAGATTCCATTTTAGAAGTGGTTCACAGACTACAAGGCAAAACTCTAACACAACAGCTCTTCCCTCCCCACACTGCAAGAAAGGATTTAAAAGTTCTTTCTCTCCTTGTCCTTAGTCACACTGTTCCTTCCTTTTGCTTGCATCATCAGTTCTGGCTTTGGTCAGATTCTTCATTGATCAGATTATTTCACAAACTCAGAAGTTTCTTGCCAGGTCTGTGAGCTGAAATGGCTCATGGGGATATCTGTGCATGTGGACAAGACTGGCTAGAATTAGATTGCTATATTGAATTCTGGAGTTGCTTATATTCCCGAATTTACTGTCATTTTAGACTACAAAAAAAACCCAAACCCAACTTATTGTCTTACAGATGGTAAAAAAATTGCAGGTTTTGAAGGCTGGTGTATGTATATAGGGGAAGGCATTTATAACTGTCAGCTAAAATGGAAGCTACTTAGCTGGTACCTTGGCTAAACTTGCTGATTGAATTTATACCTAAGCTGTTCTACTGCAGGGTAAATCTCTGGTTTCACAGTAAGGAGCGAACTGTCTTAACATTTCATGGCTAATCAAAGAAGGGGATCTCACTTCCTTCTCTGTTCTTGCTAGGCTTGGTTGTGTGCACTCAAGAGATGCTCTGTGAGCTAATTTAACTTACTTAACACGATGGAAAACTTTTTTCCCTTTTTCCTTCTAGCATTGGTAGGAGTCTATTTGAATTGCAGATGAATCTGGCCCAAATTGAACTGGTATGAGGGAAAAGGAGGAATAGCGTGGCTGGGAAGGAAGGGTAGGCTAGATATGGTTCCTTTTGTGCAACGGCTTGCTAAAACTGCCAGGCACTGAGCTTTATACCATGGTGCTCGTAATGCTGTCCACCCACGTCTCGCTGAAACAGTTGGCTAACACAAAGGGAATATGTCTGTGTCCCCACTTCT